CTGAGAGCGAATGGTCGCGGGTTCGATCCCCGACCGCGTCATACCAAAAGACATTAAAATATGGTACTTGTTTGTCCCTGCCTGGCGCTCGACATTAATGGGTACAACAAGGACTGGTCGGCTCGGAGTCAGTATAATGTGTCTGAGTGGAGTATTCATGCTTCACTGCGGCGTGGTATCTCAGTGAGGTAGCACTATAAAACCAGCTTAAGTCTGGGCTAGTACAAGCAGCCGCACATACACATACACACGCATGCACGTCGTCATATGAGCGAAATATTCTCAGGCACGACTTTAAACCCAAATTCTCCTCCCCTCATGTCTGAGGTTTTTCCAATGTCACAGACTACAGTGGTACTGAGACAAGCCCTTGTGACACTCTGTGTCCCCATAGCAGTGAGTGAATGAATTATTTTGATTTAAGTTGTCACATCAAGTTTGTTGTATATTTGTGTAATCTGTCACAACAGTTTACTGTGTGAGCCTACTGTGCTTCAGTGTGCTGGGAAATGGAACATTACAAGGGTGGAAATAAGTTTAAATTGCTAGTGTACTCCGGTACAGTGGCACATGTAAAGTCACTTGCCCTGATAATTTTTCCACTATACCGGACGTTTTCTTGTTGATTTTTTAAATAAACAACATAATTAACGTTGGAAAGTCAACTGGACACCAGTACAGTGTGATTTACAAATTTGCTTGCCCAACAGAAAAAAACGCTGGACTCGGACGTCGGGCAATGGGTTATTTCCACCCCTGCATTAGTGTGTGGTAGTATCACAATATAATCAATGTCTATGTGGTTGTGCTTGACTAACACTTAGTCCCTGAATATATATAATTTTAGTTGTAAAAAATAAACCCATTTAAACTGACAAGGAGCCCCTAGGAGATTCAGAACCAGGGGAAATCTAGACTTGCTTCATTTAGGGCGTAAGCATTGCAGGGAGGGCTAGGCTGTAGGGAAAATAATGAGGTTCAGCCAAGTCAGCGATCCTGACTACCAAGATGACCATTTCTCAGACGATAATTAGTTGTGTGTAAAAATATCTGAGAAATATGGATCACTGCTTGACCTATCAGCCACAGGCTTGCTGTGATAGTAATGAAAAACTGCTTAATATGCAAGGAAGAAACATACATTTTGATTTAACTAAAGGCATGGTAAATGTCGTCCAGTGATGTAAATTTGATTACTGCCAGGCTGCCCCAATATTGCTCACTGTGGCGCTAACACTACACAGATATATTAAATCTGCGGACTCTGTCCAGTCATTCCGCCATGACTTGAAAACCTATCTCTTCAACCAATAACTCTGTTTATTTTATTCTTATTTTTAACCTTGTGAAGCACCACTGAGCAGCCACCGAACACAAAGCTGAGTCATTTGCCACAGGGGTGTGGGGGTAGCTTACTGGTTAAAAGCATTCTCGGCAAGTTGAGAAGCCAGGTTCAATTCCCACATGGGTTCAATGTGTGAAGCATTTCTGGTGTCCCCTCGCCCGTCACTGATATTGCTGGAATATTGCTAAAAGTGGCATAAAATTAAAACTCATTTGCAACAACTACAAGTAGATATCCCCTTTCTTCTGTATATATACCCATGAAGATCCAAGTTGGAATTGATCTTCAGTAACGCCATATATAGCTGGAATATTCCTGAGTGCAGCGATAAAACTAATCTCACTCACTCACTCAAGCTCAAATAGCAGTCTGTAAACAATCGAGTCTGGACCAGACAATCCAGTGATCAACAGCATGAGCTGCAATCTACGCAGTTGATCATGATGACATGTATCAACCAACCATGAAAGTATGGAAGAATCCCATTGGCTTGATATATTGTCGGAAGGGAAGGAAATATTAACTTGTGCATACTAAAATATTATTATCTTTGGTTTCAAAGGTAAAACAACAACCCACTTAATCTGGGTGTTTCTAATAGTGAAATACATGCTATATAAAACAATCCGAAATAATATAAAGCCAGAGTTTAAAGTGCTTCAAAGGGAAATACTCAACTACTATAAAGCTACCAAATATACAGCATTTTCTGATGCAAACCCAGCAAAATTTTATGCTTTCTTCCTTCCATACACGTTTTGCTAACTATACTAACAACCTAGATGTTTTATAAGTATAATACAATTTGACAAGTACATCTGAATACTTGTATACATATTAGCCTTTAGGCAAGGATAAACAGATACATTATAGTAAACCCACCCTCAACATATGATGATTGTTTGTATTGATGGTGATGATGATGCTTGCACAATGTTGATAGCGAGGATGTTTTTGTATGATGTTCTGTGCAATGTATTATGACAACAAATTGATGGCGAGGATGTTGTGTATGATGTTTTTGTACAAATGTATTATGACAACAAATTGATGACGAGGATGTTGTAATACGATGTTTTGTACAATGTATTATAGAAAGCACCAAATGTACTTTGGGAAATAAAAAATACTTTAAAAATAATTAAAAAATGTATCAACCAAGTCAGCGAGCTGTCAGTTGCCTCTTAGGACAAGGATGGGTTACTGAAGACCAGTTCCAACCCGGATCTTCACTTGAGTTACGATGCAGTTTGAGTTACTGGTTGGTTCATCCCAAACAGAGTTTAGACATTGCTGGTCATATATCCAGCTTGTCTTTCTAGATTTTTCTCAGACGAACAAATAAGCGTCTGTATCTTACTAAACAGTGCCTAGTTGATACCACTAATTGTATTTTGACAAATTCCAGTTTATACAACACTTGAGGTTTGAAAGATTTGTTTCTTGCAGGGACCAAGGTTGCCCATTGGTGCCTTGAGATGTGACAAGCGCCAGTCACCTATGGAACAGGAGAGAAACAGAAACTGGATATCTTTAATGCCAAAATGCCAAGAAAAATGGTAAAGTCTTTGCCCTCTGCACAATGATCATAATTACAAGCTCACATCAAACAACCCATGAGGATCGGGTTAGAACTGATCTTCAGCAACCCATGCTTGTCGTATTAAGAGGTGATGAAGCGGGATTGGGTGACACACGCTTGCTGATCAACAATGCGACCTGTATCAAACACCTGGAATATTGCTGAGTGCAGCATCAAACGCAAACATTCAATTTGAAAAGTGAAAAGAAAAGTTGGGTACTCATGCATTTTTGGTTTTAAGTTGTTAATGAAACTAACATTTTAAAAATTACCCAAAGTTTGCTATTTTCATAAAAATCTGGCTGTTTTTAAATGAACATTCACGATTAAAAATGTGTTTAATCTGTCTGTTTAAAGAATAATCTTTAAACTTGCATTCAGTTCGTGATTTGAAAAGAATATTCAGATTAATTGTCAGTAAAATTAAAGTACATAAATTTTATTTTATGTCTTTTCAAAGTTTGGCTGTTAAAGGAACCATCAGACTTTACATTGTTGTAGAATGACATATTTTAAGAGTATTTATTTGAAATAACTGAACTATATATGCTTTCTCTCTTCAAAGTTTAGACTCACATGTATCCGTTAGATTTATATCTCAAAGGTTAATAGTTCGAAGTGGCAAAGATGGATTTTAGCAATACAGTCGAAGGCGACCGTTATTATGCAGCTTCTGATAACTCAATATCCACGTTTGTCTCGATATAACATCTCTGTCCCGCCAAAATCCTTCATAATTTATCATTATTCAAGCTCTTTTAACTCAATATACGGATGTCTCTCGATATTTCGGATATCTCGATATAATTTCATGGTCCAAACCAAACCAAGCAAAATTACCCTTTTAACTCGATAATTGCAAAAGAAACTCGATATTCACCTACCTTGCATGGACAAGTACCCTCCTGAACTGAGGTTGTTTCCACATGTTTACACACTACTGCGCGGCATGAATCAAAGGGATGTGGTAGTGTAAACTAATTAGGGCTAATTGAGTTAAAAGGTGTCACTTGTTTGTTATTTAATTAGGTAGTAACTAAGTAGGAATTGAAGTTAGAGTACTCACTGTTACAACTAAAGCACTACTGATAGCGGATTATAGTTTTGAATCAAAACATACTGAGAAGCCGCTTTTTTCTTTCATAGTGATATGTGTGATGATATGACCTGGTCGGATGTCTCCAAACTTCGGATAACTCGCGATATTTTTCTTGGTCCCATGAATATCAAGAGACAGCGGTTTTCGACTTACCTTGAAACATATCATAACAAAATTAACTTTGAATTGTATAAAGCATGGATCTGGCATCCAGAAAGTAAAAGAAATTCGGCATTGTTCATGCAAGCTGAGCTACGTTTTGGGGTGAAATTATCCAAAAAATAAACAAAAAGCCATTCGTTTATTAGTTGTGTAACCTCATGCTAATGATCTTTTGAATCTGACAGCTTGTTTTACAATACCTTCTGATCATTTGCAAGCATAATCCAGTAAATGATAGAGACATCAGGACTTATTCCATTAAGATTTTCCTACTTTTCTAAAGTGAGTCTAAACTCTTGAAGAAAAGCATAAATCTTATCAGGAACTAAAGCATGAAAATATTTCTTTAATTTTGTGATGGAACATATTAAGACACCAGAAATTTTATTTCTTGTGAAAATGAATTACATTGCACAGATGCATGAAATACTACACTCAATATACAGAACCATTATCCTAAATTCTTGGATACACCTTGATTTAGTGGATGTCAGCGGAGTATCATGCTAGATCCAGTAAATCAGAGTCTCATTAGCGTCCGCAGCCAGTGCACTGATGTCGATACAATGCCGCGCCTCACTGACCGGGGGTTTGGGTTATCTTAACGTTTGCAGCACTCAGGCGGGGTGTGAATCAAAATATTGGGACATTTAGGGTTTGTTTTAATAGATGATAGATGAGAGAGAAAATTCCATTCCCCCTCAACCCTTCCCTTCAATTATCCCTTTCTGTATCAGCAGAGTGAGCGTGGGCAATCTCAAGTAACCCATTCTGATGTACTTTGAAACAGGGCCTGTTTTTGGAGGCATGGAATGGTTTGGTGGGGTGCAGGCGGAGAATTGGGCAGGAGAACTCTGGGAGTGAATGGTGACTGGTGCATGGATGGTGGTGGGCTGGAGATGGGTGGCGGGATGGCATCTGAGAATTCTCAGGAGTTGTGCTGGTGGCTAAGGCAATGTTTGGATGTTTGGAGTGGGCTGTGCATCCGTGGAGTTGCTGGCTGGTGGTGGCCCACAAAATAGTGACATAATTTTTCTCGGATCAGGAATTGCAGAACAGGCCAGTGGGCAGGACATGGGTCTGGGTTTCTGTTGTGTGGTGAGCTGTTTGCCGACATCATGTTGCTGACACCTCATTTGGTGGGCACGCTCTTATAAATTGAATAGCCATTATTGAAAGTGGAACTCATGACTAGCTAGAACATGGGTTAGCCCCTGGGATGAACTCGTTTGAGAGAACATCTTCAGGAGGTGACTTGGTAGCTGGACATTCGTGAGAACATTTCATGAACATTCATATTACCATGAAGATATAGGGTTTTTACTTGCTAGAGTTGGAAATGTCTGGGTTTATGGCTCCTCCATTGTGTAAAGCCCGGTGCCACAGTGATTTCTGTTGGTTATGATCTACGCTCCAGAAGGTAAGTTGTCTCCCTTGGACCTGAAGGGAAATTGTCTCCTTTGTACAAACACATTGAAACTGATCACGATGTCACAGAAATATTGTTGATTGTGGCATAAAACAGCATTCATTCACTAAAATATAACATTTTCAAAATAACAAAGAATACATTACTCCTAGTTCTTTTAATGGGAGTGTTTTCTTTCAGCTTCCATGGACAAAATTGTGAGTGAAATTAAGCAAGCAATGAGGTACATACTGAGATATACCAAGGAGTCAGTCCAGGTTGGTGCAGCTTCCCAGTCATGCTTATCCTTATATACATGTGACTTAGCTTATCAACTCATCTGTGGACTGACCAGTGAAGATCGAGGTTAGAACTGATCTTCAGTAACCAATATCTTAAGGATAAATAAGCGCAGCACCTTTTACATGATATATACTGGTCTGCAGACAGACCGACAGACAGACAGACAGAATATATTATAAGAGTCTCACCTTGTACATAATACAACCCTATGAAGGTCTAAGGTTAGAATTGTTTTTCATTAACCCATGCTTGTTGTAAGAGGCGACTAAACGGCATCAGGTGGTCAGGCTCGCTGACTTGGATTGACACATGTCATACGATATCCCCATACCTGTCAACTCTCCTGCATTTTGGCGTGAGTCTCACGCCTTTATTGACAAATGTCGCTCCTCACGCCTCCAAATAATAATCTCACGCATATCTGGTAGCCAAAATAATTTCAAAAAATTAATGCAGCATTTTAGATTCGTTTTTGCGTAAAGTTGAACATTGAAAGAACGCCTGAATGAATGAAAGTACTAAAACGATGTTTATGCGAATGATTAAACTTATTATTATTTATTAGCATGCATCTTTTAGTGTCAAAATAATGCCACCAGAAGGCTCCAAATGCTCCTGAAAATCACTCACTAAACTTCATTTTAAGCTGGGGGGCTTTGCCCCCCAGAGACCCCCACCAGGGCGTCGCCCTCGACATGACCCCGCTGGACCCCTCGCTGGACCCGGCTGGACCCCGGCTATTTTTTCAGTCTCACTCCAAACCATCTTTAGGGGTTGACAGCTCTGTATCCCTATTGCATAAATCGATGCTCATGATGTTGATCACTAGATTGTTTGATCCAGATTATTTACAGACCGCCGTCATATAGCTGGAATATAGCTGAATGCAGCGTTACACATCAAACAAACAAACTTTGTAGGGATTATGGGTTGGAAAGGGTCAATCCATAAACTTATTGTCTGACTACCTTATGGGTTCAAACTCTGACAGGCTCGGTTTGTTGGCACCACACACTACCATGGGTTTCACTTTACAGGCACCTATATCACACCACATGTCTCTAAAAAATAAATAATACATTTCTCTCAATAATACTAACCACCTGCCCTCAGGGAAGCTGCCATATAATTTATTCCCCCACAAAATAATGATCTAGATTACAATGTTAAATTAAAAATGTTCGAATGAATTAAGTCATATTGACTCTCACACACTCTACCAACCATACATTATTTCAAGTGAACCCCATACAGTTATGTCCCTTGGGAGCTCTTTACAAATATCCTGCGCACAACTTGTGATTGGAACCAGTTCGGCAAACACCGACAACACCTCGTGCGACAGTTTTCGATGTATGGAGCAATTGTTTACATTCCATATATGGCAAGTGTTCCCTGTTTGGAAGCTTTTCGCCTCAAAGTTTAAATTATCAATTTCAGGCATGTCGTATAATACAGCTTTTTTTGCATCATTAGGAAGGTAAAGTGAGTGCATATACCCCAATATATATAATATAGGCCAAAATATTGTCAAAATGTGTGACCTTGTGCCTTTAAGTAATAGATGTCAAGCTGTCATGCCATGAACCTGGCAAAAGCAGTCTCACTCACTCACTCACTCACATATAGACAGTACTACTACATGTATAATCAGTTCTAGTGTGAAGATTATTGTAGTGATCTCTAAAATTTAAGAGGTGGAGATAACATGCTATCCTGTATGTTGCTATGGTTACAGGGGTATCTACCTGTGTGGCCACTCAGCTGGGGGTCACCTAGCGGCCATGATGCTGGCTTGTGAGTTCGCTGAAGACGACGCCTTCGACAGCGAGATGATCAAAGGTCAGACCAAACAGTTTATTACTGGCTGCGCTCAACTTAAGCATTTAGAACTTGCACTGGTGCAACCTGAAACTGCAATGTGCAATCTGATATACTGTAAACGTACTTATTTTCGCGTGGTGCAATTTTCGCGGAATTGACAGTTTAGACTACATCGCGCGGTCAATTATTCGCACAATCAGTAATTGCCGGAACTGCCAGCTGTCTCTTTGGCCGCCACTAATAGCAGTGAAAACAAACAGAGTTGCTTAACCTGTCAGGCGGCGTTTATTGCTTACTCACAGGAAATCCCTATCTGTGTGATATACCAGTACACAGTAATCCGTTACTCACGGAAGAGATGAAAAACACATCAGTCTTATGTTCCGAATTCTGACGATCTGACGAATTAACTTCTACTGTATATGAAGCTCTTTGTGATTTCAAACAAGCCGGGTTGTTGTGAATGAGATGATTGAGTGTTAAGTGACTATTCGCTTCATATTGTACTGGTAAATAAAATCTTAATGAATAAATAAAATACTGCTGTATTATTTCTTTCCGAGTCGTTTCATGGTAATCTGTTTTGTATCAAACCATCTGTCATGTGACCAATTTCCATGGCGGCCAGCCACAACACACATTGCTGTTTTCGCTAATTCGGCGATGGGATTTGGCTCATTATTTAATTATGTTTTGGGAATTCCATTACAGCGACAGTTAAGTATTATTCTTTATGCTACTATCAGTCGTTATTTTAAGATTCCCGTAGATTTCTGTCTTCAAACTTGATGTGTTATGGTAACAACTCAGGGCGAAGCGCGGGCTAGACTGAATGAATGACTGGTTTATTCATGCGGTGTATAAATTTTCGGCTAAAATGTTTTGGGCGCGAAAGCCAAAATAAAACCTCTTGCCAAATATAAACGCTTACAGTATCTCATATTTATACCAACTTGTACCCAGTGCATGTTAATATTTTGTGTTCAAAGAACACCGACTTCTGCTGGAAGACAGAATGATGAGGAACTGGTTTGGCGCAATGACTCTGATGAGCTCAAGGACAGCGACTGAATAACTGTTACTGTTCATGTCAGCATCTTATGAAGTAAAATATAATGATCATATCATGCCTGGAACAATTTTGTTATGATGATGTTCTGAGTCATTGGGGCAGTGGATAGCCTAGTGGTTAGAGCGTTGGCTCATCACGCCGTAGACCCGGGTTCGATTCCCCACATGGGCACAATGTGTGAAGCCCATTTCTGGTGTCCCCCGCCGTGATATTGCTGGAGTATTGCTAAAAGCGGCGTAAAACTTAACTCAGTCAGTCTGAGTCATCATTACTAAAACTGAAGCATTATGTATAATTTATTATTGAGCTGCAGGTGCACCTTGTTTTAGTGTGGTGCAACAGGCTTATTACTGCAGGTGGTTTCATTTCCTTCAATTAGCCCCTGCTCAGGTCAATTGAAATAATCGAAGATTGGTCGCAGTGACCAAACGACCAAGCAATTGATCACATTTTCTCATAATCAACATAAAACGATTTTTTACTACTTTTTCCGTCTTTGAAATTCTTGACAATGGAACATATCGTTGAAGTTGTCAGTGCCTGAAAACGTGTTTAATTCTTAGAAAACTCACTTCACTAACTGAAAAGCCATGACTGAATATTTCTTAAAGACTCTGGGAAGTTTATGTTCATGATATATCAGTCATCACATTAAAGTAGCAAGTTGCATCATGTTATACATATCTGCAATAACAACCTGGATAGGAAAATATGAAAAATGACGCTAACCAATTTTTTTCGATGATTGTTCGTTGGTAATGAAGCAATCATCAATTGTGAGATTTCAACCAATTCCCAACACTAATAATTAATATTTACTTATCTGATCATATAATATAGGTTCTATTTCCAGAACGTGATTATTAGAGATAGTTTGTTAATATAAATTAGATAATAGATTAAATTATATGCTAACTTTATATGGAACGGTAGAAGGTTGCACCAACTTTCCAATCTGATAATCACTGTCAGGGCTTTAGAAATTCTTGGTAAGACTTAGCTAAGCATTCATACTTGCACATATCTGATTTAACAAAATCATGCCACAGTGTAATATAATATGTCACTTTTGATATTTTAATCACCTTGTTATATATTGACACTTGGACATCAACACCCAAAAACGAGTACAGTCAAGGGATTAATTGTGTTCTATGCAGGGATTCTTTATTTAAAATTTCTATTATTTCCAAATCACAATTAAAGGCTGACTTAGAAAGCAGTACAGAGGTGACTTGTGTTGGCCAGACACCTGCTTCTATAGAGGTATCATATAGTGTTGAACTGAAGCAACAGATCTCATCTTAATAAATCTAACAATGTGACACATGTCTATTTCACATAAACGAATGAGAATTTATTTGATATTTCAAACTAGTCTTGAGGATACAGCATTTGAAAGTTACTGGTCATGATCAACATGTTCAGCTTGTATCTTATGGACATATTTGTATTTATTCCACTTTGACAATACAACCTAATTAACTTTCCTCACTGCCATATTTGGCAATAATGACCTTAAGGTCGAAGGTCTATGGTAATAGTATATAGTCTATAGGTCTATAGTACAGAGTAATATACTGAGAGAAACAAATAAAGGAACACAGGAAAATTCAAGTGTTCCTTTATATTTTCCAGTTTTCATCACCAGCTTTGAATAGTAGAGGAAATCTGAGAATAAATAAAGGAACACTGCTATGAAGTTGTGTTCCCTTATTTGTTTCCCTCAGTATGTTTGTTTCGAAAGGTAATGTGTGATATTTTGTTTGATTCCAGGTGCGGCTCTAATCAGTGGAGTGTATGACCTCCGGCCTCTGACGAAAACATACGTCAATGACCCGCTGAAACTGAATGAGTATGTCAGTATTTGAAGCTCAACTTTGTTTTTGTTCATGCTGTGTGTTTGTGTGAGTCTGTGATAGAGTCTGTGGATTTCATGGATTGTCTGATGATTTTAGGGACTGTCTGTATGTTTCATTCTCCGTGTCTGTTTTTACACCAGCGTATTGCCTTCAGTGTTACCATGTTATAGCTGTTTTGTAATGTGCAGTCTATACAAAATAACAGCATGATATCAGACTCCACAAGTCATGTCAGTTATTTAACTGGTATATCCATTGGCTTAACACGTTTGTGGCACTCAATATATTATTATTTTTGTGACATGTTTGTGTTTGTTGCTGTTGTTGTTGTTGCTGTTGTTGTTGTTGCTGTTGCTGTCACTGCCTCAACTTGCCTCTATAGGGAGGATGCGTGGCGGTTCAGTCCTGCCAACTTCATCGCCGAGATTGCTGGCCTCAGTCAGCAGCGCGACATCCTCATTGCTGTAGCAGAATACGACCCACCAGAGTTCCGCAGACAAAGTGCTGATTTGGAAAAAGTAGGAAATTATATTCATACTTTTAACACAAACTATACTAGTAGCTTGTTGTGGCTATCAATATAGAGATAAACAATCAGGTACAAGTCGCATGGGCGGATCCAGCAATTTTGAAAGGTGGTAAAAAATTCTTCAAAGTGGTCTTAAGTCATTTTAAAAGGGGGGGTTCGAACCCCCTGAACCCCCCCTCTGGATCCGCCAATGAAGTCGTGTGGTGAAGGTTGGAGGATAATGGTTATAAAATGGAGGTTAAGGGTGAAGGCTGTTCTTTAGTAAATCTGGAGGGCCAGGGTGTCAGTGGGCCCTGAACCCCCCCTCTGGAACCGCCAATGAAGTCGTGTGGTGAAGGGTGGAGGATAATGGTTCTAAAATGGAGGTTTAAGGGTGAAGGCTGTTCTTTAGTGAATCTGGAGGGCCATGGTGTCAGTGGGCCCTGAACCCCCCCTCTGGATCCGCCAATGAAGTCGTGTGGTGAAGGGTGGAGGATAATGGTTCTAAAATGGAGGTTAAGGGTGAAGGCTGTTCTTTAGTGAATCTGGAGGGCCATGGTGTCAGTGGGCCCTGAACCCCCCCTCTGGATCCGCCAATGATGTCGTGTGGTGAAGGTTGGAGGATAATGGTTCTAAAATGGAGGTTAAGGGTGAAGGCTGTTCTTTAGTAAATCTGGAGGGCCATGGTGTCAGTGGGCCCTGAACCCCCCCTCTGGACCCGTCAATGAAGTCGTGTGGTGAAGGTTGGAGGATAATGGTTCTAAAATGGAGGTTTAAGGGTGAAGGCTGTTCTTTAGTGAATCTGGAGGGCCAGGGTGTCAGTGGGCCCTGAACCCCCCCTCTGGACCCGCCAATGATGTCGTGTGGTGAAGGTTGGAGGATAATGGTTCTAAAATGGAGGTTAAGGGTGAAGGCTGTTCTTTAGTAAATCTGGAGGGCCATGGTGTCAGTGGGCCCTGAACCCCCCCTCTGGACCAAAATGGAGGTTAAGGTGAAGGCGTCAATGAAGGTCGTGGGCAACCCCTGGTGAAGGTTGGAGGATAATGGTTCTAAAATGGAGGTTTAAGGGTGAAGGCTGTTCTTTAGTGAATCTGGAGGGCCAGGGTGTCAGTGGGCCCTGAACCCCCCCTCTGGACCCGCCAATGATGTCGTGTGGTGAAGGTTGGAGGATAATGGTTCTAAAATGGAGGTTAAGGGTGAAGGCTCTTCTTTAGTAAATCTGGAGGGCCAGGGTGTCAGTGGGCCCTGAACCCCCCCTCTGGATCCGCCGATGATGTCGTGTGGTGAAGGGTGGAGGATAAGGGTTCTAAAATGGAGGTTAAGGGCTTAAGGCTGTTCTTTAGTAAATCTGGAGGCCAGGGTGTCAGTGGGCCCTGAACCCCTCTGGACCCGCCAATGATGTCGTGTGGTGAAGGTTGGAGGATAATGGTTCTAAAATGGAGGTTAAGGGTGAAGGCTGTTCTTTAGTGAATCTGGAGGGCCATGGTGTCAGTGGGCCCTGAACCCCCCCTCTGGATCCGCCAATGAAGTCGTGTGGTGAAGGGTGGAGGATAATGGTTCTAAAATGGAGGTTAAGGGTGAAGGCTGTTCTTTAGTGAATCTGGAGGGCCATGGTGTCAGTGGGCCCTGAACCCCCTCTGGATCCGCCAATGAAGTCGTGTGGTGAAGGTTGGAGGATAATGGTTCTAAAATGGAGGTTAAGGGTGAAGGCTGTTCTTTAGTAAATCTGGAGGGCCAGGGTGTCAGTGGGCCCTGAACCCCCCCTCTGGACCCGCCAATGAAGTCGTGTGGTGAAGGTTGGAGGATAATGGTTCTAAAATGGAGGTTAAGGGCGAAGGCTCTTCTTTAGTAAATCTGGAGGGCCAGGGTGTCAGTGGGCCCTGAACCCCCTCTGGATCCGCCCTGAATGATGTCGATGTCGTGTGGTGAAGGGTGGAGGATAATGGTTCTAAAATGGAGGTTAAGGGCGAAGGCTCTTCTTTAGTAAATCTGGAGGGCCAGGTTGTCAGTGGGCCGACAGAGCAGGCCAAGAGTGATAATCAGGAATACAACTCTGTCACTCTTCTCCAACAGAAAGAATTGTACATGAGGTCATTAAGATTGTTGTGTATGCTGACAGACTGTGCGGGTGACTGGGTTTGTTGCTCGTTATGTCAACCACTCTCTGGTTCACCACAATATTGCAATGACAACAGTTTTAAGTCTCTCTCTCATACCTTGAAAGTTATCTATTACACCTCCCATTAAATGTACGCATTTGGCTTACCTATATTAGAACTTGTAACCATAAACTTTCAATAGAAACAGGTAGATGGTATGATATTGTTAAAGAAGAAAGATTATGTACACTGTGTAGTGAGTGAGTGAGTTTAGTTTTACGCGGCACTCAGCAATATTCCAGCTATATGGCGGCGGTCTGTAAATAATCGAGTCTGGACCAGACAATCCAGTGATCAACAGCATGAGCATCGATCTACACAATTGGGAACCGATGACATGTGTCAACCAAGTCAGCAAAACTGACCACCCGATCCCGTTAGTCGCCTCTTACGACAAGATAGTCGCCTTTTTATGGCAAGCACATTGGTTACTGAAGACCTATTCTACCCCGGATCTTCACGGGTCTGTAAACTGTGTAAGAACACAATAGGAGATGAACTTCACTTCATGTTCTATTGTCGATGTTTAAGTAATGTAAGAAATTCATTCCTACCAAGCTATTATTGTAATTATCCTTCATTAGATAAATTTATATCCCTCATGTCTTGTACGCATAAAGCACTATTGTTAAAAATAAGCAACTATGTGAAAACCGGACTACGTATGCTCCCATGAAACAAATCTGTACATTTGTATTTTTCTCTATGTCACTATTGTGTGATCTTCATGAGAATAAACCATTCATTCTCTCAGTCTACCACTATCCGAATAAGGCTGTTAGTGACGACAAGAAAACTACTGACTGTTTTGGATATGTGTCCCTGGTTCACATGTTCCAGGAGCTGTCTGCCAGAAAGGTGAAGACGAGGTACATGGATGTCAGCGACACAGATCATTTTGATGTCATCGAAAAATTGCAGAAGGATTCTTACAGGCTCACAACGGTAATGATGGAAACTTGGGACAGTTTCATCAAGTCCAGAATATTTAGTTTTTCATGATGTTTCTTTTTTCAAGACTTTGGGACCACTGGGTCTGATGATCTCAATCTTCCATATCACCTCAGAACACAACCAGATTTACCTGTTTTAAATCAAATCTATAGACTTGTCTCTTTGCTGAAGCATCTGAACTCTATTTGATATCAATACCATCTTAGAGCCAAAGCACCTTTGAGCCGGGTTTACGGATATTGGCTTATACAAGTATATGTGTGTGTGTGTGTGTGTGTGTGTGTGTGTCTGTGTCTATGTCTGTGTCTGTGTCTGTCTGTCTGTCTGTCTGTCTGTGTCCCCCTGTATGTATGTTGTATGTGAAATGTATGAGAGATAAATGTAATTCTATAACATTTGTGAGTTTCCCCAAAGTAACTTAAATTTGGAAATGTTGAATTCCTGAGTTTAGGCACCTATTTGTAACGTATAATGAGTGGGGATCATCTGTCTATCACGATGGAAACATGGAAACAGCTGTTTCAGCTTTCATTCATTACTGCAATTTGTCTTTTGCAAATGCAAATACCAAACACTTTTAAAGGTTTCAGCTGTGTGGAACTTTACACACTGCACTCCTGAGGGGAATCATCCAACCTGGTTCTTTAGGTGACTGAATGTTCTAACCAAGAGGCTATCCTACATCCCGATGCAGAAAAGTCTGTTGTTTGAGATTGTTTGGGGGTTATGATGTTATTCAACTCACTTTTCAACATTCTCCACATTCCAGGAACTACTAAGACTAATGAAGCTATCATAAGAGCTCATGCTTTGTGAAGATGGCTAACAACTGCTGCCACCCATCCAGATTCGCATTGGTTTATGACGCAGTTGATGTTCTCAGTGCACCTCCCTGATGATTTATATGACCTGGCCAGTTGCATGAAGAGGTCTTCTGACTGACCAGAAATCGGAAAGGAATGTGCCATAGTCTCAGATAAATGGGATTTATTCCAAACCGATTGGATCTGTGAAAGTGTCATTTTCCTCCACATTTTCATCAGTGGCAAAATTTAGTACTAAATATGTTCAGATTCTGATCTCCTTACATATTCTGCAGATCCTAAAATATTGTTAACATATTCTGTTGTTTGTCACAGAAATGTTTTCATGCAGAACATGAAACTGAAGGCCAGCATGATAACCTTAACTCATACTGATCACATTGTGATATATCCAGACAAAGCTTAAAAGAAATCGAAATGTTTTGTTTGATATTATTAAATGTTAATACCTCTTCATAACAAAGCTTTTATTTGTGAAATGTGGAATACAGGGTGTCTGGTTTAAAATTAATTTATCTATGACATATTAGCTGTGCATGTCCTCACAGAACTTGTGATCAGTTCAGTTTGATTGTTGCAAAACCGGAGCAACTCAGTCTTATCTAATAATTCTATGTTTAAAACATTCGGGATTGCATCCCTTTGGGTGTTCCAGGAGCCTGTGACCATTGCTCTTAATTTTCACATTTTCATTGATTTTGATCCTTGGTTTGTGAGAACCCTGCCTGTGCTCATCAATTTTACCAATAATCTTGATGCCTATGATTCTGTTTTCGGCTTTGCTCCAATATAAAGCTTGTGTAGCAATAGAAATGAAATCCTGGTCAAAGTGGTGCTGACCTCAACTCCGCCTCTAATTCATTTCCTTATGTCCTCAACAAATTCCAAATCCATGCTTGGGGATATGCAGTATGGGAAACTGGTATATTCTCTCAATATATAAAGTGATGTTTTTTCCGCTTTAAATTCCTGGTGCAAGTTTTAAAGAGTACCTTTTCAGTGCAATTGACATGCAGAATATAAAGCTGCTCACCTTAAATCTGTCTTTTATTACTTTATGATGTTGAATGCTTTCGACAGATAGCATCAGCTGCTTATATTTCCCTGTCATTGTGCCTCTGTTAACAACCCCAGGTGACATGGCATGAGAACAAGGTAGGCCAAGCCATCTGAGGTGCCTCATTTGACTGTCAGTGTGCTTTCTTTGAGCAATGCAGAATTCAGTGATTGAGGATTTGAATCCTTGGTTGTTTTGATTATATTTGTAGGTTTGTCAGCCCTATACCTGTGCCTCTGTAGGGACATCAAAGGCTGTTTCCTCTGCAGTAAGCTGACATGTCACCATAGAACTGGAATAGTGCTTAAAGCAGCATTAAACTCACTCAATCACTCACTCACTCACTCACTATGACAGGAAACTTGTGTTTTCATATGTAGATGTTAATATTTGATAAACGTTTTGAATGTCTGATGTTCTCCAGCTTAGGAATATGTTTTGGATTTTTATGTATGGTTAGGATTGTGACATTTTGTTACTTGCCATGAAATAATCCGAATTTTGTTTGTTCATTATGTTGGTGGATTTTGTACTACCTATGCAGATAGATAATGATCTTCATAAATATTTATGTTTTATATTTGCTATGCATTTTATATTTTCAAGTTTGTTATATCTGTGCTGTATTTACCATTTGAGAATGGACATATCATTCACAAGTTCTGATCAGGAACTTATACAAGGTGTCACTTCAGTGATGTGTGGTAGAATGGCAAATTTTAGCATTGTGTCATTTAAATATGAAGCAATGGTATGGATTTGGTCCAGGGTATTAGCAGAAAATAACTTAATACTGTTGATAGTGGAGGAGGAACAGATATGGTGACATGGTATTGATTTTATTCTGGGAGAAGAAGGAAGATTGTGTATTTTGATATTTACAGTTAACCACTTTGATATGGTTGGTGATGGTCCAGGGACATTATGAAATATGTATTTGGTGACTTGGGCTGGGTATTGGCAAATAAATTGTATTTCAATATATTCCGATTCAGGTACCTGTATTGCGATACCTATTGAGATATATTGGGAAATTAAGTGTTTGACAGTGAGTGACACTAACTGTGCATGTCAGTCCTATTTTTCTACATTCTAAGTCCCTAAACATATATGTTATTGCTTTGATTTGAAGCAATCTTAATATTAGGTTGGGTAGTAAGGGATTCCCCGTTTTCTTTTTATACAGCTCATAGTATACTGAACAACATTAGAACGCACCACACTAAAATGCACTGACAATGCTCAGATGTCATGGGTACATTTCAGTCTGACGGAATATTTCGTATAATATGGGTGGTGCGTTTCTAATGTTGTTCAGTATATTACAGTATGTCGTTTTGTCATTGGATAATGAAGGAAAACATTTGTTGTGAATGGAAGGCTGTGTTGATTATAATTTATAACATAAAGATGATCACAAAAACTTCATATTTGTTTTTTAATATACCGGTTCTCAGAAAACATATTACAATATGTATCGTTTGAAAAGCATATTGCGATATACTGGGTGTATACCGGTAATACCATGCAGTCCTATTGGTGACATAACTCATATGGATGGGTTATCAAGAGATTAAGGCCAGTTCTTTTTGAGGAAAGTTTTGGAAAGTTGATGACTGATAAAGAATATGACATAAATATACTCAACACCATCACTTGAATGTGACTGTCTCCTTGAAGTAATTAATCATTTAATGTTCTAGATTTTAGGCTCTAAAACATCCCCCCTATGAATACCTGAGACAACAAACACACTTGTTCATGACCAGGGTTTTTATTGTAATTAATTGTTTTTTTAGACATCCGATTCCTGTAGGCCAAGTGATATGGCTGGATAACCCTGCTGCCATTACTCTGACCTCAATATTGAATATGTACTCAGGTTGTTGGTATATATAATTCTATATGGCACAGTATTCTGGTGAATATTTCAATGAGAAGGACATGTGTGCCTATCGTTTAGCCTATTGTAGGCTGATTTATTATAAACAATAAACAAGAATATGTTTTGTTTGCGCTCAGTTGATGTTATTTGTTGCTATATATAGTCTCCCTGTTGATACAAGGGCGGGAATAGTCGTGGGTGTCCCATGCTTGTCATGAGAGCCAAGGAAAATTAAGATCATATAGATCATAAGGATCACATAGATTATATGGATCATATTGATCATATTGATCACATAGATCAAATAGATCATATAAATCACCGATGACATACATCATATATTCTGTATCAAGTCTGTACCAGGGTACTGTGTGTCCCGCGAAGGATACATGTGGAGGGTTCATGGTGTATGCTGTCGGTCACATCAGGGATATGATGATCCCAACACAGTGGATATGGTAATGAAACTCTACAACATAGTTCAGTATACCGCTACAGTTTCAACAATGTATAGGGGCAATGGGTTAGCCTGATCGTTACAGCTCGTCACACTGAAGACCCGGGTTCGATTCCCCACATGGATACAATTTTCGAAGCCCATTTCTGGTGTCCTCCGCTGCGATATTTCTGGAATATTGCTAAAAGCGGTGTAAAACCATACTCACTCACTCGCCCACTCAAGTACCTATTTCACTGTATACTATAGCTAAGTCAGTAGAAGCACAATTACATCGGCAGTATAAAATAGAAAAGCAATTGGTCTTTTGAACTGGGGTGGCATTGGCACCACACACCCAGGGGTGCAGTTACCATTAAAAAAAAGCCTGGGCTTCTTTTTATTCGTGAGTGCGACGTTTCGATACAGATTCTTGTACCGTTGTCAAGCATAATGGAACATGAAGAAGGGGGAAGTGTATATATACTGGATGTAACAATGTAACAAAGAAAACAACATAATTAACATAATTGGCTAGGCAGAAAGCTGATGAAACCAGAGAGTAGACAAAGGACAGGCGTGGAAGCCAATGATGTACAAATAATAATGAGATGTTTATACAGTAGATTGGGCTTGGTGGATGAGTGCATCATAAGCGGATGGAATGAAGTATCCTTGGTCTCTGTTGATGGTGGGCTTTTGGCGTTTGATGTGGATGGCTTCGGTCTACTCTCTGGCTTCATCAGCCTGTCCTTTGTCTACTCTCTGGCTTCATCAGCTTTCTGCCTAGCCAAATATGTTAATTGTTTTCCTTCTAATTCTTGCCAAAATGCCTCAGATATTATCTGAACATAAGGCTTTGCAACCTATCGGGCTTACACAAGAAAAAATTGGCTTGCTACGCGCCTGTCCACACCCCAACAACTTTCGAAGCACGATAAAATCATTTCCGTCATCTGCAAATGTATATGAGAAAAATATAGGTTTATGTATTTATGAGAGTCGTGAATAATTAGGTACATCACCAGTTCGTTTGTTTCTAGTGCTGTGATCCTGAACACTGACTGGAAGCAAAAAGTGCAGCGGCCTTCGAGACAAAAAGTATGAGTGAGTGAGTGACTATACGCCGCACTCAGCAATATTCCAGCTATATGGCGGCGGTCTGTAAATAATCGAGTCTGGACTAAACAATCCAGTGACCAACAGCGTTAGGATCGATCTACACAATTGGGATACGATGACATGTGTCAACCAAGTCAGCAAGCCTGACCACCTGACCCTGTTAGTTGCCTCTTACGACAAGCATGGCTTACTGAAGATCAATTCTTACCCGGATCTTCACGAGTACAAACAGTATGACTTCGAAGCGGAAAGTTCACTATAAATCCTTCATGATGTCATGATGTTAATATGGTACTATGTTTCTTATTTACACACATTATTTACCACATTGGCGGATCCAGGGCGGGGTGTGTGTGGGGTGGGGTGGGGGGGGGGGGTTGTTCGACCCCTCCCCCTCCCCTTTTGAAAAAATGACTACAGACCACATTGAAGTTAATGTTTTGCATTGGTGGAGCCAAGAGGGAGAGGGGGTTCGAACAAAAGAAACAACCCCACCCCAATTTTGAAAATTCCTGGATTTAAAACAACTTTAAACTGTTCGAAGTGACAAATATTGGAATTGTTGAATTTGATTGGATCGGATTGCAAAA